AACTATATGGACCGTTAATAACCTTTATTAATGGGCCCTTTGACACAGACCTCTACATCAGCAATAATTCTTTTTACGTTGCGTTGTTCTATTTGGGAGCAAATTGAGCCGAGTTTCCAAAAACATCCTCTATATAGCCGACCTCAAGGATATACATTTTCATTGTCATCTAATTTTAATGTTTCGTTGCGGCTGGTTTCACGAGCTGGAGGTATATAATTGTTTTCTATAACGTTTCTATTGTTTTCTTTCTAGTCGTAACATGACTAACATTTGTTAGTCGTGCTGTTTACTGCTGTTTACTCTCCTTTTAAGCTTTGATTTATTTTGTAGAATTGCCATATAATATTTTGTACATCTTTGTCATTGTGTAACGGTACTGAGCTGCTGAACTTTAAGATACAAAGGCTTTGTCGGGCTTCGCGCCCGGGAAATAGAGTGGTAATTCCCGAGCAAGCCACAAGGAAGGTCCTGTAATTGCTTCATGCCAACCACCCAGAAATGACAGCAATGAGAACGTCGGCCAGGGCGTATATTTGGTGCCCTAAAATCGATCAAGCAATCGAGCACTTTGTACGCCATTGCCAACAGTGCCAGGAAAACAGGCAGAGCGATCCCAAAACACCTGTTCACTTTTCGATAAAACCAGAACAGCCCTGGAGCCGCCTGCACGTAGATTTCGTTGGACCTGTTCGAGGTGAAAGTTTCGTCATTGTGGTAGACACATTTTCTGACTGGACCGAAGTCGAGATTATGCCGTCCACGAAATCAGCTGCAGTGATTACCGCGCTGGGGAAACTATTCACGACACATGGGTTGCCCGACGTAATTGTTTCGGACAACGGAACCGCCTTCAAAAGTGCAGAAATGAAAGAGTTCCTGAAACTTAATGCTGTCTGTTTCATCTACACAGCCCCGTACCTTTCTGCAAGCAATGGCAGGGCGACACACAATGCAAGATTTCACTTTTTTTTTATTTATTTAAGCAGTACACGACATTTCATGCACCGGCCCACGGACCCCGATGCCGGTTCGAATCCTGGTCGAGCTTCCTCCAATCTAAAGGAAGCTTGTTAGAAAGGAGGCGCTGTGTTATTAATCCTCAGTCCTCCACTAAGGCGTGCCAGAGGCCCCTTTTTGGTTTAGCATGTAAAACTCCTAAATTCAGCTCTGACTTTACCTCGACTGCTTCGGACTTTCCAAGCCTCAAAATTTCAAGATGAAAACTATTTTGGCCCAAAGAACTGTACCATTGGGAAAGCCGCTTATTTTGATCACCTTGTTTGTGAGGACCCAACTCTCTACCATTCTCGGATGGGGGTCCATAGACCCCAAAGGGTCCGCGAAGACATTCTAGGGGTCCACGAAGCCCAGCCACATCAGTCAAGCCCGGAAATATAAGTTATCTTTTCTCAGATTGTGGAGAAACGTTTCAATTTTTTAGTGAGTTTTCTCGTGAATATGTCAAAAAGAAACGTCTACCTCACTCTAGCCCTTACTTATATTCATTTATTAAATCATTATCATAATTAACCTACACATTCCCTTCCCCTCACCACGAACGAGGTCCTCCATCAGCTCCGCCGATCCACAAGCGGTCCGCGAAACAACAATGGCTCGGAACCACTGCTCTTCCCAAAGCAAGCGACTGGTTCGCTTCCCATTCCAAGAAGCCAGGCGCAGTGGCCGGCAAGTCGACGTCGCTTGCCGCCAAAAGAAAGAGATGAGACACCGGGGCGCACTCGGTGGACTCTCCGGGGTTCTGATTTTGGCGAAAGTGAAAGCGATAGCTTTTTGGGCTGCTGATTGGACGTGGCACCACAACTTGCGCGTAATCAATCAGTGAGACATTTTTGGCCCGTTAGCGAGTTCACAATAAGGCAATATTGTAGTGGGAACATCTCACCAACTGCGAATTGAAAAAAAGGCCGTGGGGCCTCTCATATGCTTCTCATTAGTACTCCTCTACTCACCGGTCGATTTCAGCTTGTGTGAGGCACCAGATCAACTTGAGGTTAACAAACGAAGCCTGCGTTGTCAATGGCATCCAACGCGAAATAGCACACGATAGCAATTACATCTTGCTTTTGATCTCACTTCGCATCGGCGCTCGGTTTGCAGCAGACGATTAACCTTTTCTCCAGTTTCTTAGCAGATCGCGTACGGCGTTTTCTTCTTTCTTTTTGTTATAATTTTAGTTGGAAAGCGGCGCTTCCTAGCAGACGAACCGCGTTCTTCGCGCACATTAACAGACAAAACAACTGCGAGCTCCATTTGGCCTCACTCCGCGAGAAGCAAATTACATTTCCCTGTCGCTCTCGCGGTGACCACAATCAGACCCCAGGCGGCAAAGCCGCTACCAGTGAAGCTGAACTATGCGTTTTTTTCAGCCATACCTCCACGTCCCCACTGAAAACTGTAACAGGAAATCTAAACTGACCAGGAGTTATCATAACATTATACCCAAAATACCAGCAAGAACAATAAAAAAATACGCCTAAACTGTAAATTGCTATTTTATTTTTTTCTTAAGATCCCGCAACATAATTATTTGGTACATTACTCTGCAAGAGTAACAGAGACATCGCTGATTGTTTGCCGGCAATGTCGTCACAGCTAGAAATACTCACGCAGATATTGAAAAGCTGAGAAGAAGCTAACATTTGGAATGTTTCGCTACAAGCATTACTCTGTAACATGTGCCTCTATTCTTTTTTGTATAGTTCGTTTGCTTTGTATTTACTGGGTCTTCCTTTAATTCGCTTTATATGTTTTCAAACAACCATCGTTTTATGTAATACACTGTCCTAAGGCCTTCACAAGACAAATATTTTATAAACTAAATAAATATTTAATTAACACAGGTGGATTCTTAAATTGTGTGAGGAGGACAATACCACGTCTTGTAAGATGCATCTTAAAAAAGAAACAAAAAGATTCTTAAATTAATAAAATTATTTAAATAAATTGGGAATATCTGAAGAAATTAAGGTGAATACTTAGAGCCAATTTGCAGGAAAGGGTAGGGTGGGTGAATTTCCCAACTGTGTAAATAAAAAAACTGATTTGAAATACAAGATGTAGTATATGCTAACGCGGGTATTACATTCATAAACGCCAATTTTGTTAGGAGTGTTCCTAGACGACATATCAAAACTATTTCTGATGATAAGAACCGGTAGGGTATTTCTGATCGCCGAGGGTTTTATTTGAATGTCATCTATAAGAGTCCAACTCCCCAGAACACAATTTACGGCTCGAAATTCGTGTCTTTCCGTCCAAAAAGGTAGGCGAAGAATTGGCTGGTTTGAAGCGCGCTCACTTCCTATTCCGTAATCACGTGCCATTCAAATTAGCGTACCAAACATATTCATTGTCGTCGGCCATCAAAGGCACAGATTCAATATTGAAGAAAAACACAGATATATGTAACCAAAAGCTTACAGTTGGCTTATATAGTCAAATATTTGCACTAGCCGGGTCACGCTGACAGACCGAAGGACACAGAATCTGCTATGCTACCCTACACATGAAGCGAGTGGTTGAGCCAGCCCCGCACGCGTCATCCCCTTTCCCTGTCATACATAGAGAACAAGCGCAACCCACACACCTTGTGCTCATGGTATCTCATAAATTCTTCATCCCGCGGTCTTTGTCGGCATAATCAAGCATGCGTAAAGTTTCGAACGAAGCAGGTCCGTATAATGTGGAAATTAAAAATTATACTTTAAGGTGTCAAACATCTCTTTCCACACACACACACACACACACACATACATCTATATATATATATATTAGCAGGTATCGATATGTTACAAAAACAACTTCTTTGACAATAAGATTTTTTATCATTTACTTCGTTCCAATATTGCATATTTTCGCGGCTTACGGAAGATGTTTAATCACAGTCGATTGGAGGCGGAGGTTTGAATCAAACAGAAAAGAACTGATCTGCTTCCGAGTGCAACCACTGCTCTTAGAAAGTAACACATGTGCTTGGCGTCGTTACCCAACGTCGAAACAGCATATATGCTCCGTTTCATCGTACGGTGGTCCGCAGCGGACGATCCCAACCATAAAAGCTAATCCAGCGCAGTGAACTTATCAATCACGTGACTAAATATAACTAAAAACAAAACAGCGCAAAGACGAAGACAAAGTAAAAAGTAACCGACGAGACAAAGCGCTGCGTGCCCCTCCCGTCACTTCGCCCTTCCCAAAAATCACGTGATACTCCCAGGGCAATGGCATTGCTTGGTTATGATGGCTTTGAGCCATCACTGAGTCATCACAGCCAATTCAATGCCAATTCATCCCAATTGTTGTGGTCGTTGCTTTTCAAGCGGAACCGAAACAGCTGGCTGATGAGAAAAACCACAGATGTATTTACCACTCTGGGTTCATTGATAGGGGGCAGTGACGTCCACTTGGCGTCATGCGGTACTTTTTCCACATGTTTTCATAGTACTATCGATTTACGTTAAATTATGTGCCTAATTTCAGTGGGATATTTAAATACAAGCTGAAATGAGCGACAGAAGGTCGCACCGAACGAAATTTGTCTGGAAAAGTGGCAGCCTTCCGCAGAGTAGCTGCTATCTTGAAAGGCACATGCATCCTTCGCGTGTAGCGCAAACCGTGAAAATTATTAACATGTGACTTAGACAATGGTTATAAGGCACTTCGTTAGCTGAAAAGGTCAAATGTTTGAAGAAAAAAATGAGCACTACAAAATACCAATCTCATGTGACTTGAATAGAAGCGGAAATAGAAAGTGAAAAAAATATCGCAGAATAAAATTTATTTTGCTATATTTGTTTACTATTGCCCTTTAGAACACGACCTTTAAATGAAGTTTAACACAAATGCAATACTTTTTATGCGCGAATATTTACGTTCTTATGACTCTCGCCTAAAGCTGTGCGGAAGTCTGGTATCCTTTCCTATATAACAACCAATTTTGGAAGAACGGGAAGATTTTGACTTGCAGGAGGCTATCAATGAGTCCACTGTGCTGGGGTTTGTGCCTATGGCTATGGTTGATGTGCACTGGCGTGGAATGCGTGCCGAAAATTCATCTAAGCTCAAGAGACCAAGACGACGGTAAGTCCAAGATTTTTGTTAAAAGAAAAACGTACTATTTCTAATGCTGTCATGATGGTATAAAGGTTTTTCTTTCTAAAAAATACGAACATTTTAAGCAAGTTTTACTTTTTAGTCAAAATTAGTGCTTGCTCTAACAAATTCAGAACAAGCCGATTAGTAAGAGCAAGAGTGACATAACATTTCTTAGAAGTATAGTACGGGATATGATTAAAACAATTTGTGGCAAGTAAACGATTGCAAAATGTCACGCAATAGTTTGTATTTTATATTTGAAGGCAAAAAGACGTTAACTAGGCAAGATGCTTGGCGAAAACAATATTATTTTAAAGATATTAATTTTTCTATTCTACGGAACCAAACATGCACTTAAGGTATATTTTTTTAGAAAACTCAGTATACAGTGCAGTCCACTTATAACGATATTGAGAAAACCGCAAAATCCAATCGTTATAGCCGATTATCGTTATATCTGGATCAAATCAAATCTAAAAAAATAGCGATCAAATCTAAAAAATTTGATCGCTATAAGCGATATATCGTTATATCTGGTATCGTTATAAGTGGATTACACTGTATATTTAATATATGTAAAATATACACCTAATATGCGTTTACTATACTTCTTATTTTATTCGTTAGCCGCGCTCGTATATCGCTACATATCGCTGGCACAAATTGCCTAACACTTTTTTGAACGTCGTGAAAGATCCGCTGTCTCCGTGCTTTAGATATTTTTAACGCATTAAAAACGTGGTTTTATGGTACTCTTTAACTTGAACGAAGCATGACGTCAGCACAGGAGAGTTCTGAGGAGTACAATTTCCAAGCTGAACGATCCCCTTTTTTTTAAATAATACCACAATCGCTATATAGACCATTCCATTTAGCGCTCTCAGGGCGGTGCCATTTTGTTAGACCGCAGAGCCCTCTCCGCGCATCCGGGAAGTTCAGCAGGTTCGGCGGGGTAAAACGAGAGAGACGGAACGCGCACGACTCTGCTAGCAGACGACAAATCGGGAGGTAGCCTCACACTTTATACACAGTTCCTAGTGGAACTGTGTATAGGTTGTGAGGTTATCAAGACGATGCGCACGACATCTCATGTCAAACGCCGTACTGACCAGAAGGTACCTATGAACAGGCTCAATCTTTGCAAGTGGTTACACAACAGTCTAATTCATCAACAAATGCACGTTTTGTAACATTACTAGCCGCGTCGAATGCGCGTTGTCGGCAGTTTAGGGATTAAATTCACAAACTTTGTATATGCCTCACCAGGGACCTCACAGTAAGTTAAGTCTGCACAAGGAGAAGTTAGCACGAGTGATCGATAGCCGGAACGGAAGAATTGCCGCACAGGGTGCTGCGTTTTCTCAAATACACCAAAGGAGCGAAAGTGGTCAAACCGATTTCACCTTTCAATCCTAAGGAGGCTTCGGAAGGCTGTAATTATATGCACACAAAACATTACTGGATTAATACACTCATCTATAGACCTTTCCAGTTCGGCGTTTTAAAAACCACCAATGACAGTAACACAGTGCAGAGAAAAAGATATTCCCCTCTACAAGTAAGTAAAAGAAGACCCCATATCCTCAGTTCAGCATTACTGACAAAAGCCTGAAACTGCAGTCACACTGGTCCAAAACTGTGTGCAGAAATGTTCGAAGCATGCGTACGTGTAAAAAAAAACATGTTTCAAACATGCTTGACATGTGTCCGTAGATATTTCGGTTATCATGTCTGCAGCGAACGCCATGTATTTTACATGATGGATGCGCAGTGGGACTGCGAACTGAGAAATTGAAGTGGCTGTTTTCGAAACGCGCTTTGAGAACAGTTGACGTCTGTCGACCTCCCCCTGTGCTACAAAGATGGCACCCGCACCAGGCAATCTTGTTTCCGCTATATCTGCGCGACTGCAGTACCACGTGTCGCTCTTTCGTTGGCCCGGCAATCGATCGTTTGCTCTCATCCTTTTTGGTGTCGACTCGAAATTATCACAAACTATATCAATATATCTGTAAGTTATGTTTATTAGGGATTTTCACACATATAAAAAAAGTAAAACCTAAGACTCAGAAACGTAGAGAAAAGCTCTCTCTCGGCGGGCATCAGGGAAGCAATATTACTGATTAGTGACAGTGATAAAAAAGGAAGGGCGCAGTTAGCTGAAATCATGCTTAACATAACCGATTCTTCAGGACCCTTCAGTTTATAGCATAAAGAAGCAAGTCTATCAAAAATGCAGAAAAAGCCCAGTCTTTTCAGGCAAGAAATAACACAGAGGAACGCTACTTAGTATCAGGCGATTGACCCAAATATAAGTGAGAAAAAGAGCACACCAATATGCGTCGCGCTTAACAGGGCTCAAGCTGACCTAGAAGTGTACAACCTTGTCATAGAGGGAGCAGCAGTGTCAATGTTTTCCATATGGATATATTGTCGAATAAAAGTAGAAAAGTGCGATTCATTCACATTTATTTAGCGTTTAGCGACGACAGTTTCCTATTAGTAAGAGATGGCAAAGTTGTACCTTCCGCTGCTCACTAAATCTCATCAGTAACAGTGATGCCGCAAGTTTTTTTTTTATTGAAATTATTAAAAAACAGTTAAGTTCTGATTAGTGTATATTGTTTGATCTTGATGAAGCTGCTAAGAAGCAAGCCTTCTAAAAGCAGTCGAATCTCCAGTGAAGCAACTACTTCTTGACGTGTTAACATGCCGTATTTAATACGTGAGCTATAGTCTAGCTCAAACTAAATGCTTACCTAACGCAAATACTACTGTAGGGAAAACTCATGCAGCATAATCACAATATTGTCACGAATGGAGATGTGACGAACAAGGAATAACTGAAGAAACTGAAACGTTTAATGGGGCGAACTTGTGTCCAAAATAAAAAGGAAACAGAAGATAACAGCAGAGCGTCGCGGGCGTCGAAGTCGGCGTAACAGCAGAGTCGAACGCTGGGGCGAGACTGACTGCGGGTTGCCACGCGGAGCCCCTTATGTACACGCGCTGGCTTCTGGAACAATCGATCTAGAAAGTACGGCGACTAGAACATTCGTACCTCGAACAAGCAACAGAGTTCTGGAATGTACCATAACACTAAAAATACGTTCATACTCCAACGTAACGTCGACGTGCGCGGCGTTGCGCAGCGCACACAGATACTGATTGGTCGCAGAAATCCAGTTCGAGTGCCAATAAAAGGCGCGCGTTCTGCGCTACGCTGCGTTCACTGCGCTCAACGTCGGAGTATAAACAGCCCTTACATTGCAAGAATAAATAAAAGACCCAGGAATCGAAACCTGACTCTTCGCTGCGTACTTGGCCAGCTGCGGGCGCGGCAATATACCACGTCATAAAAAAAAAACGACAAGAAAAAAAACTCATCGCGCACCTTTACTGCTTTTTTCTTATATGAATGATCAATCACTCGTTTTTATTCGGCGCCAGCTAATCAAAATAATATACTTATGGTCAAAATATGCACTGATACGTGAAGGCCGTCCCGTCATCCAAAGCACATGAGGAATTCAGCGATTGTGCTTGCGCTGTGTAATCAAGTTGTCGACCCATCAAACAACCTTCGAGGATGTCACCGCCCTATATCATTAGCTACACTGTGAGTGTTACGACTAAAATTAATGAAACTGCACTTGTGACCCCATCATGTGCTTAAACGAGTGACGCGTGTTTGTATGTTCTTGGTTTTTGATATTTAAACATATTTATTCATTGAAAGAATACTGCTGCTCCCACATGTGGGCCTTAGCAGGTAGATCAAATAAGTTATTAAATTGTTTCTTAATAAACGTACCTATCTTGGATATTACAGATGTAGTTACAGTTACGATGAATTATATCGTTGATGATAACCTCATTACTGATGATAAGGTGCAAGTGGAAGCCTGGTTATCATACGTCACGCAGAAGGTAAATATACTTCATCAGATATATCTCACTTCATAATTTCCTAATATACCTAGTTTTGCTTTAAACCTATTGGTGGGAAGGTCAATGCATGGCATATACTATGCACGTGCTGCTGATCTATATCACACGAAAAAGTTGCACAACAATAAAACATTTTTAAATGCGCGCTCCTGCAGCTTACTTTCGCTTTTTTTTTTTTTTGTATAAAAAGTCAAACATCGCCGATTATTAAGAACGCTCTTATTTCCCATAACTTTCGAGAGCAATTCCGCTCAATAGACCCTTTTCAAAACGCGCACCGTCGAGTAGAATTGTTGCGTCGATTCTCCATGGCCGTCATATATTGGGCATGCACTTGAGCATGCATTGGACACGAGTGCTGTGCCAGCGTTTGGCACGTATATGTGCCGCAAGGTGAACCAGGAGCGAAGAAGCAAAAACGCACAAGGTTGTGACACAGCTCAAAGTCAAACTACTCCACGTGCGAGAAAGAGGTGGTGAACCACATTCAGCGAATTTGCGGCCGAGTGTATATTGGGCAAACCGGGTGATGTATTAATGATCGCACGGGAGAGCACGCTGGCTGGGTAGAAAAAAATGTCAGCAAATGGACATTTACCTATCATTTGTCGTGCTTGCAAACGTTCTGCAAGGTTCGACAACGAGAACATCCTAGCAAGAAACAAGACACAACTTGCATGTGGAACCCTTGATGCGCTTGCCATTCAAGAGAAACGCGACAACTGCGTTAGCGCACCTTCCCTCACCACTGCAAGAAAAAAAAATCTTCCTTCGGGAAGTCCACTTCGGGACGAATTGAGGTGAAGAAAGTAAAGAAAAAAAAAAGAAACCGTTTCACACTTAGTGGGTTCATAGTAGCAGAGGAGGATAAAGTTAACAGTGTTGTTAGTCCAGCGGTTTATATCTTTCTTTTTTCTTCGCGAGTATGTTTAGTTCCTTTTTTAGTAATGTATAGGTTTATTTCCATTCAGCTGGCCATTTCTGTAAAACGTGAGCTGCTGCTGCTGCCTCGTTCAATAGGCCTTTTGGTAAATTACTCAAGCACCAAGGAGCATACTACAAGTGTAGTTACACGTGCCTCACATGCTGCCGTCTGCAGCAGTTACTGCTCTAAAGTAGAAGCCTAAAACAAGTGGCATCTTGGACGCGTTTTCGGCAATACTTCATTTTGAAAAATATAACAGTGAGTGCGCAGGCGAGTTGGTGGAAGTTGATCATGATGTACAATACCCGAAACTGTGGTAAAAGCTGGGAAACTTGGTCGAATAAAAAAGACAGGGACGTTCTTTTCCCCTGTCTTTTTTCTTCAACCAAGTTTCCCAGCGTTTACCACAGTTTCGGGTATTCTACATCATTATCAACTTCAGTTTGGTTGTTTTATTCGAATCCTTTATACGGGGAAGGCCATCGGGTGCGGAGCGCAGGCTTACATTCCCGACATCCTCGTTGATGCCTGGGTAATTTAGCGATTGGTCTATTCAGTCACCCTTCAAGAAGACACCAAGCCGGTTTCAAAACGGTAGATCACATTTTAGGGCATTGGTCAGGGCATTCCTTTTTTTTTTTTGACACTATTGTTCGTGCCAACCAGGCATATATTTTTCAATAATGTTTACGTCTCGATAATTCAATAATGAAACTTAACAGTGTACCTTCACATGTAAATATGCATAACGTTTATAAAACATCCTATTAATTCTCAAGCACTTACTCAATCACTGCGTAAGTTCCAGTATTACCTGGTAATGCGTATATCAATTCACGATTTAATTTTTCTTTGCGTAATTCATTTTCCAGGCGATGTTCGATTTCCAACATATTTTTCAATTCACTCTTAATCTTAGCTACAGTATCACATACCTCGTAAGTATTCACATCGCTATTCTACAATTATAGATTATACTATCAGCCGTTTCGGAAGCAAGAACAACTGATTCAACGAATTCAAAAGAACATGGTGGCGCTCAGTTTAGAAGTGAGTACCAAAGTTGAGAGCTAGGCTAGTTGGTGTAGGTTAAGCATAATGTAGGTAAAACAGCGCAGAGCGACAAAGACTAGAAGGAAGGAACTAACAAGACGGGACAGGCGCTGACTCTCTATTGAAGGTTTTATTACCGAAAACATAAAAAGTATACACGTAAGGCAGCAATCTACACATGCGCAAACCTTTCTGCTTTATCACATAGGGTCATACACGTGTATCACCGGTGCTCGCTGATGCGCTGCGGCCTGCTTTCCGCTATGTAAAAAGCCTCTATCACCTCCCTGGGCACGTGTATGACCGGTGCCCTATGTGATGAAACAGAAAGGTTAGCACATGTGTAGATTGCTGCCTTATGTGTTTACTTTTTATGTTTTCGGTAATAAAACCTTCAGTTACGAGTCAGCGCCTGTCGCGTCCTGTTTATTCCTTCTAGTCTTTGTCGCTCTGCGCTGTTTTACCTACATTATGTTAAGAACTGACTACTTTACTCAACTTCGGAACTCTCTCGATATGTTCTGCTATGAAATTAATTTATAAAAATGGAATGGATGTAAAAAATCATAGACACGTATCTTTTCTATGCCAGTTCACCAAATTTCATAAAATTGTTTTGTTTAAACATGTGTTGAAATTTGTTCTGCAATATTAGCCCAATACAACATTGATTTGCGAGTGGGAGATCCGTAGAAGCAAATTTAGCGTCATTTTCAAACTTTGTCTACCATGTTGTTTGTCAGAGTGGTCAGTGGATACAGTTTATTTCGATTTTTCAAAGAATTTGGCTTGGTTAATCATCGTTAACTTATACACAAATTCCGATCTTACGGTATGAGTAGTGCGCTTTGTACATTGTTTCTGAATTTCTTATTTAATCACCGAAATTCCAAGCGTGTTCTTGGACGGTATTCCGGACTTTATGTTTCCCTTTCGAGTGTGCCGCATGGGTCGATACATAGACCGATTGTTTTCAATGCTGCCTTAAGAAATCTACATACATGTGTGGAGTATTTAGGTATATTAAATTATATAGAGGAAATCAAGCTGTTTAAGCCTATCTCATGTATGAAAGACTATGAAATATGGATAATTTATATCAGCGCACGATCGATGTTGTATAAACATGTTCAGTCTTACTCCTAAAACTTTTCCTAAAACTAGGAGGTTATGACCTAAAAAGTAATCTTAACAGCTCATTAATTTCCCATTATGGAGGGTTGAGCGCACGCGTGATTTTTTGTGTATACGTGGTGTTTGGAAGAAGTCTCAAAAATTCCTCAAAATGAGACTTCCAAATAAAAGGAACTCTGGTGGAACAAACTGCCAGCCACGCGGGACGTCAAGGGTTGCAAAATATATGCTAATAGATTTTCTTTATTTTTTTTTTCTGCACCGAGTGACGAGGCAAAAGCAAGCCTCTGCCGCGTGCTGAGCTCCACGGTAAAATGTGGTCGACGAATTGAACTGTTCGCCGTAGATTTGGTTACGTTTCCACACATCACCAGCGAAAGCTTTTTCTTTTTTTTTTTTTTTTTTTTGCGCGTGATTGCGTTTTTTACGTTGTGTATCTAGTTTTCGCAGAAAAAAAAAGACTCTATATATTTCAGCTGCAGTACTTATGAGAAGGACTTTATTTTTTAACGGGTATGGGACCGATTTTGTCCGCATCATCAAACTTGTCATTTCTACTGGCCACCCAACTGCACTAATTAAAACGTTATATTACTAAATTATTTTATTATTAAAATAATTAGTATGTTTTTTCTTCAATCCCTGACATTCGCTGTGCCTGGCAGTGGGTTCTGGACAAGAGTTTATTTTTAACTCATTTATCTTAGCATTTAAGTTGTATATTTTAATCTAACTGTATTCTTATTTAATATGATCATTACCAAAAAATCAATGGTTCATGAGCGCAAACTTAAAAACAAATGCATGAATCAATAAATTAAGTCTAGGAGTGGTTAAAAATCCCCTTTTTTAATACGTTACTAACAAACGCAAATTGAAAAAGCAATTTCAATTTTTTAACAGAGCAATACGAAAAGGAAGGGCAATGACAGACACATACAGTTGTCCCATTTTTTGTGCTTTAATTTTACTATTTTATTAAGTGCGTTGCCATGATTGTAAATATGTTCGTTGCAGTTCACTGTCTGATAGCTGACAAAAAGTATATATTTGTCTAAAGCAAGTTAAAAAGCGGTGTGTCAATGAGTCTAACAAACGCCCAATAGTTTGTAGCACGAACAGGTTGCATTCAAACCACTTATTAATGCACGTTCCCAGTAGTGTTAAGCTCCTCTCATACAATACGTCCATCAGGTCAAAACTCGAATATGCATCAGTCATTTGGGATCCCCACAATAAAAAAGATATCCACCAGCTTGAACTTGTACAAAGAAAGGCAGTTAGGTTTATATTCAGTAAATACAATAGATTGGACTCGCCCACGGAACTTATGAGGGATAACCAAATACCACCTCTCGATACACGTCGGAAAATGACTCGTATTTTATTTCTTTACAACATCCTGACATCCAGAGTAAGCCTAAATACACTCCCATATCTCAATCAACTAACTTCAAGAAAAACACGACACACTAGGGATCACGCACTACAGCCCATCTTCGCAAAAACAAATGCCTTTAAGCACAGTTTTTTTCCACGCACTATTTCGGACTGGAACTTGCTACCAGAAACCATTATTCAGTCAGCCAATTTCATTCAGGAATTAGAACGGTACATAATTCGATAATGCATTCCGCAGCAGTGGTCTTGTCTTCTTTTTTTATTATTGTTTTTGTCATTTTTTCATGTGCACCTATATGTTGCATTTTTGCCCCTCCTGCTTGGGCCAGAGAACTGGCCTGCAGTATTGTAAAATAAATAAATAAAAGCATGAACTGCCCCATGGAGCGAAGCCGGCGTTTTCTGTAGCAGCAAAAAATGGCATCAAAGTTCCCATTGGCTGAACGAAACGGCACCTAAAGTCCCATCGACAAAAAGCACAGCAACGCAGATGCATCGTCCCGGAAGCCGTGGAGCCGGCGGGGCCACCGCACCTGCGCAGTGTGGAGCCTGATGCCACCGCCGGAGCGCCGTGTGAAAAAGAAAGACGTGGCGCGCTGCTTGTAAGAATGCGCTGCGTGTAGGAAGGCTTTCGCATTCCTACACGTAAGCAGTCTTAGGTGTCTTCGTTTAAATTTTGCTCAACACTTCTACATGAGTGAAAAGTTAAGCAGCAAAGGATATTACATATAAAACAAACATAAAGAATAAGGTAATTAAAGGCGGTTTGCGCCTTTAATTCTGCGAGTAGTTTTTTTTTATTTTTAAGTCTACGAGTGATATGTTTTTTTATCGTTCGTTATGTCTAGATCATTCCTTCAAATGTGTATGCGGGCCTCTAAAATTATAATTTCTATTAACGTTTAGGCGGAGCAGAGTGACCTAAACTCAAGGTTAAAACATATTGGAGGATCCTATCCTTGGCCGCAGGGAGCAATTTCTACACTGGCTGACTATTTTAGCGACAGGAAGCATTCTGATATTATCTGCCTCGTAACAAAGTAAGAAAACACCGCAGTTCTTTGTTTCCTATTTTCACACACCTAAACTTTACAACATTTTTTTTAGGAAAAAGCTTGACGACTGGTCCAGTGTGAGAAATGGGTATGGTAAGTGCTCTTCAAGGTTTATTTAAGTCGCTTTAAACATTTTGGGAAGTCATGGAAACTGCTTTGGTTATTGCGGTAAAATAAATGGGACCTACGTTTTAGGAGTCGCTGCAAAAAGATTATTTCTAATGCACTTGCATTTTCCTTTGAATAATCTCACTTTAAGGTATAAGTGATATTTTGTGCTAACTTCTTTTAATCTTATTTCTAATTTACATGCACGGTCTTGTGAATTTTCTCACTGTTAAAGATAAGTACTATTTTGTGCTACCTTTTTGATCTGGGTAGATTTTGTTTGTTGCTCTAAATAATAATGGCTAAAAATAATTTAACTCTTAATTCTTTAAAAATAAGAAATCGGAATTTGCCCCAGATTTGAATGCATTCCATGTCACGTGCTATATGCAAAAATAATGGTCTTAAACAATCGTAGGTAATAAAATAATGATCTGTAAACTACAGAAATTTATACTAGCGAAAAATAATTGGTACGTGGAGGAAAGTTTTATAAATTTATTGGTTTAAATTATATTAAAACTAAGCGTTTATGGACTTTCAGAAGCGCAAAATATCTTGAAAGCGCAAATAGGCTGGATAAATCAAGTGATTTAATTTAGTAGAAATAATTTAAAATAAAAATTATATTAGTATTGTAAAGAGTTTGGTAGGTGTTCTTGACATTATAACGGCAGCTATTATGGAAAGAATAGACAATTGCGGTTTTGTGCCGTCCTCCTTCAAACGTAACTAAGGCAGGGGTCAGCCACCGGATACGGCCCGCGAGGCAATAATATGCAGCGCCCGGCAGGCTGCCAGAAAATGTCCCCCCTTTCCACACACACCCCCACACTCCAGGACCAATGGTGTAAAAAAGTATTTTTGGTGGCAAATTCGGAGTAATGAAACGTATTCATTTCCAAATGGCACCCCAGGGGGTGAGTTCGTTATTCACGTTCATCTACTGTCAATTTTAGTGCACCAAAGTGATGCACTGGGAATCAATAATTGAGGGATGTCGTAGGTTCCATAAACATCGTCCGGAATCATGACTCGTAGAATGCATCTTGCATTTAAACAGTTTTGCCTCACACAGAAACATATCATGGGGCTGTCGAGTATTATACAAAACAGCAAGAGTTTTACTGTTTTTATTTTAGCTTAGTGAAAACGTTCTCGGAAAGCATTCCTGATTTTGACTCGGTGTATGACTTGACGTTGTTGTTGGCTGATATCTCACATCACCCTTGTTGTGTTTCTAAGGCCATGAAGTAATCGTAGTCGTTACGAATAAACCTTTAGTACACATAGAATAACTATTTACAATCACGGTGATTCCGGTATCGGCAGACGGCAACGTTCGGCTGGCTCGCTGGCTTGCGTCGGTCAGCTCGAGCTCGCTTCTTCATCGTCGTTCCGTGTGTCTACTCTTGGACACAACACTCCCTCAGACTAATCATAGTCGGTACCGATACACCGGCTTGCGTGCTCTCGAGGGGTATCGGCGTTCCGCGCTTTCAGACGTTGTTCGGGCACCCGCAGAAGAGACAGTTGCTTTTAAATCCGGTCTCCCACGTTCCGCTGATTTACTTTCCTCCTGTTCAAGTATCAACAGAGAATCTGACTCGGATTTCCCGGTGCCTGAAACTTGGCTTGCTCGGCGAAGAAGCTGGTTGAGGTGTCGTTTCCAAACTCCGTTCGGTACATTGACCTTGTAGTGCGCTCTCCCAAGACACTTAAGAATTGTGCCTGGAATCAAACTTCTCCTTGCATTTCGGTAGTCTCGCACCAAAACCCCGTCTCCTTCTTCAAACTTCCTTTTTGGTTCTTTCTGAGTTTGAAACTTCGATAACTTCCCCGGGTTAAGGAGATCCAATCTTGTTCTCAGTCTTCGCTTGAACAACAGTTCTGATGGGGCAAAACCAGTGGATGTGTGCGGTGTGCAACGATAAGCCATCAAAACTCGGGAAAGCTTCGTTTGTAATGACCCTTCGGTCTGTTTCCGCAGTCCTTGCTTGAGCACTTGTACTGCTCGTTCGGCTGCACCATTCGTTGCAGGATGAAACGGAGCGCAAAACTGTGTTGGATTCCATTTCCCCTTAAAAATTTTTCGAAACTTCAGAAAGAAAGGGTGGTCCATTGTCCGAGACAATAGTTCGCGGTAGTCCATGCAGTGCGAACAACTTCCGCAACGCTTCCACAACTTTCTCCGCAATCGTGCTCGACATTATTTCCACTTCTAGCCACTTAAAAAAGGCGTCGGTGACAACTAGAAACTTTTCCCTTAGGAACGGGCCAGCAAAATCAATATGCAGTCTTTCCCAAGGTTGTTCGGGTGTCGGCCAGTGGAAATATTCTCGAATTGGTTGGTTCCGAAATTTCTGACACAGAGAACACTCTTCGACTGTTCTGACAATGTCATTGTCTATGTTGGGCCACCAAGCATGCAGTCTTGCCAGACTCTTCATGCGCACAATGCCGTCATGTACCGCATGAAGCTCGTGCAGTACTCTTCCTCGGCATGCTTCTGGAATAACAACTCTTCGGCCCCACAATCAGCATTCTTCCTCCACCGTAAGTTCCAACTTCCTCTTGAAGTATGCTTCGATATCTGGACTTACGTTCTCAGGCCATCCGGTCTGAGTGAATTTCAGTGCCTTGCTGTACGGTTGGTCTTTCTCTCCTGCCTCCTGCAGAGTCTTTGTGTCTACAGGACACAGGTCTAGCTGTCCCAAGTAGAAACTTGTGGCATAGTCAGTCACCTTCTCTCCTTGTCCATCGATCGGCAGGCAAGATAGGGCATCTGCGTTGAGATTGTCTTCTGATTTCTTGCAGACCATTGTATATTGATATGCTGACAGAAGCATTGCCCAACGTTGCAATCTTGCAGCTGCTATTGTTGGAATGCCTTTCTTGGGTCCAAGGATGGTTGCCAACGGCTTGTTGTCGGTTACCAAGATGAAGTTACGTCCATATATGTAGTCATATAATCTCTTCACTCCAAAGACGATCGCTAGAGCTTTTTTCTCTAGTTGAGCATAATTTTCCTCTGCTCGAGCAAGTGTCCTTGACGCATAAGCAATAGGACGCTCTGCCTTGTCCGGGTACACGTGCGATAACACGGCTCCAACTCCAACTGGGGAAGCGTCGCAAGACAAAATCAGTGGTAGCTCTGGATCATAGTGAGCCAACACTGGGGCTCTGCTCAAAATTCCCTTGAGTTCCTGCAATCTCCTGTCGCACTCCGGTGACTAGTTCCACGGCACGTCTTCATGCAGCAGAAGCGTGAGCGGCTTTAGAATAGTAGACAACTTCGGCACGAGACGTCCGCAGTAGTTTAGAGGTCCCAGAAACGATCGTAGCTCGCTCACATTCTTGAGAACCGGTGCTTCCTGTACAGCCTGGACCTTTTTCCTCATTGTGCTTATTCCAGAACTGCTAACTGTATGTCCCAGGTAGTCCACCTTGTCTTTCATAAACAGGCACTTCTTTTTCGCTAGCCGAAGTTCACGATCCTTCATGCGCGCTATAGTACTTTGTGCAGTCTCTCTAAGTGCGTTGTATCGTCCTCTGCGGTTACCAAAACGTTGTCCAGGAACACGCAGACACCTGGAATCCCTCCCAATAGTATCTCCATTTGTTTCTGTAAGATAGCAGGGGCGGAGGCGATCCAATAAGGTAGACGCTTGTATCTGTAGAGTCCCTTATGCGTGTGTATGGTGACATACTGGCGAGACTTCTCATTCAACACCAGTTGCTCGTAGGCGTGTCTTAAATCCAACTTAGTGAACTTCTGCCCACCGTTCAAAGTCGTGAACAAGTCATTGGCTGTTCGCAGAGTGTACTGGTCCACTTCCAGTTGTGGATTTACCGTGAGCTTGTAGTCGCCACAGATCCGGACCTCTTTTTCTCCTTTTGGAATGTTGACCGTAGGCGTTGCCACTACTATCTTACAGAAACAGTTTATTGGCTCGATGACGTCTCTTTTTACCATGTCATCTAACTGTACTTCGATCAGATGCTGGAGTGCATAGGGAACTTTACGGCTTTTCATGAACTTTGGTTAGGCGTCTCGCTTCAGCTGCAGATTGACTTCAACTCCTTTGAAGCACCCTAGTTCCTCTTTGAAACGTTCGTGACACTCGGCCAGGATGCCTTCTAAGCAATGCGCATCTTTCACAGTGTTCACCTGGAGTGCTGACATCCATGTCTCGTCCAGGACTTGTATCCAATGTCTTCCCAACAGTGGTGGCACCTCTGCATTCACCACGACTAGTGGCAGCGTCCAGGTCTTCTGGTTGCTTGTGACATGGACATCAGCAGTACCACAGACGTTCAAGCTTTGTCCTGGGCAAGTGCGAAGCTTGGCCGTGAAACAGCGTGCGAACCTTCAGTTTTCCTTGCAGCCGCTTTGGAATCACTGTCACCGTAGCTCCGGTGTCCACCTCCATCTCCAGGGTCACTTCATTAATAAAGACGCTTTTCTTGAGGGGTGGTACAGTCAGCATATCCGCGTTTGTCCGCAGGACTAAATATTCTTCCGCTCTCTCTTCCTGTTTCAGCTGTTGCACCGCTCCCTTTCCTTTCTTGGCTGGTCCCTTGCGTTTGCCTTTTCCATGCTGATTTGACGTTTTCCCTCTTCTTTGTTGCACGCCGCTGTTTTTGCAGGCTTTCCGCAGGTGACCCTTTTGTCCACATGCGACACCGTCGTAGCCTTTGTAACGGCAATCTTGAGGAGTGTGGTTGGTTTTGAGACAACGCCAGCAGGCAGCGCTTGTGCTTGCAAGTTGTTTCACTTCGTCTTCAGCGGTGGCGCGTGCATCCTTGAGAATTTTCATTTGATCCTCAGTCGCTTCCAATCCCGCTACCAATTCCACAGCTCGTGCCAATGTCAGATTTTCAATTGTTAGGCAGTGCTTCTGGGCCATCATGTGATTGAGACCACAGACAAATCGGTCGCGCAGTTGCTCCTCGAGTTTGTCTACAAATTGACAGGTCTCCGCCAGCCGTCTTAGTTCTGCCAATAACGTGGTTGAGGGTTCACCTGATATTTGATCCCGCTTTCCAAATTTGAAGCGCTCGGCTATCACTAACCGCTTAGGCGAGTAGAATCGACTTAGGAGTTGTACGAGCTCTTCATAAGTCATCTTGCTCAGTTGCTCAGGAGACGACAGATCCTGAAGTCTGGAGTAAGTTTTCTGTCCGAGATGGCAGTGATCAAAACAGAAACTTTCATCCGATCGGTCTTGATTTTCTCTTTGTGCAACTCGAAATACTCTTGAAGGCGTTCCTCGTACTCGTCCCAGCTTGTTCCTTCCTCATAAGGTCCAATCGAACGCGATAGGTCGTCCATGATGCACAGTACCTGGTTCGGTCGATTCTTGCCCCGGTAGATAAGGTCTAGGTTGACTCCTCATCGCCACTTTGTTGTGTTTCTAAGGCCATGAAGTAATCGTAGTCGTTACGAATAAACCTTTAGTACACATAGAATAACTATTTACAATCGGGGTGATTCCGGTATCGGCAGACGGCAGCGTTCGGCTGGCTCGCTGGCTCGCGTCGGTCAGCTCGAGCTCGCTTCTTCATCGTCGTTCCGTGTGTCTACTCTTGGACACAACAACCCTAATGACTGGAACGTAAAATTACAAAGAAAAGAGAAACTCGTGGTGGTATATGCTCTTAGATGCAAACGTTTTCGAGCTGAAGCTCGGGATCTCCCAGCACTAGGAATCTCTAGGAACAGAGAATCGAGCACATTGTTCTATAAAGAATTGCACCTGTATGAAAGTATTTGAATTCCAGGGTCAGAGTCGGACTCCCTGATTTTTGCGAAATACTGAAACGACATCCAGATTTTCTAAATTTTGCTCACGACAGACTTCGGACAAATTCAGGAGCCTTGCGAGACAAAATTTGCAGATCATCTGATTCCCAAACAGATAATAGGTCGTAGGATGTATTTCAAGCGAACGACTTCTTTAATTTTTCCTCTGGCTTTCCTGAGTCAAAGCTTTTATATATACGAAAGCTCGCAGCAGCTTTGATTGCAGTGTTCCTTATACTACGTACATCGGCCAAAAATATTTTTTCGATGGAGAGCGTAAAGTCAACCATATGTTAGCGAACGACCAATGACCCTCCGACCTTCCCCCCTCCCCTTCTTCGTTTTCTGATCGGCCCGTTTCGTCCCTAACTTGCGGCGATTCGTCCCGCTGCAGTAAAAGGTGTATGACTCCTAAACTAAGATGTTAAGGCGTAGTTTATGCGTAGTGCATAAAACTACTGTACATTGACGAAGTATTTTAAAGGGATACTTCAACGGAATTTGAAATGTACCCGTCGTGCTCAGAAATAGACCTATAGTATGTTCCACATTATCAGTAAATGAAAATTGCACGTTGTATTTTGAGCCTGATGGCTGTATTTTTCGTTATAAACGGCCCACTCTGGCACGTGTTCATATAGCAGCCAGCGGAGAGCACATGACATCCGACGGAATCGTTACGTGACCTGTCTAGGGACGAGCAAAGCTGCGGCGAGACTGACGTCACCAAGACGATTGAAACAGGGCATCTGGCCACCGCCATGTCTCTCCTCGTGCGGGAAAGTGCATGCAATTACAGCCATGTCAAATCTACGTTCGCGCATGCGCTGCACATGCTCGCGCATGGGGCACCAGTGAGGCTATAGTTCTAGGCGAGACGGGTATCGCCACTACCTGTCAGTGTTCCTAGACAGACATAACAAACGAAGCTTTAGCGACATCCACCAGGTGCCATTTGCTTATCTTTTAATTCGTTTCGAAATTTCTTTTCGTGTCTTATTCAACAAGAGAAGAGATTGGGATGTCGGATGGTGATACTGCTCTCTTGAGCACGTATAGACCTAAAACTAATTAGCGGCCAAACTTCGTTGTAGTATCCCTTTAATAGCTTACTTAGAGCCTGTGTGAGGAAATTTCTTTGGCATTAAGTTATACTGGATTAGTAAATAACCTTTAGTAATTGAATTGCGCTATCAACTTATGTGTAATTGTAATTTATCGGATCATTCTTCTCTTTACTTCTTTGCAAGCTTTACTTTGTATGGCCTCTGCCTTAAGCTTTGTGAATTGTACAATATCTACTTTACGCAGTAACGCTGTGTACCGCAAAGGCCAAACGTGGGACCACCGTTATTTATTTTGTCTGTAAAATATATGTTTCACGCGTTAAGCATTCAAATGTCCTCTTTCCGCTGACGACATCAAACTTTTTTTTGACATCTTAAGAACTATGCTGACTGTACTTCATTGCAAACTGACATTTCTGGGATTTCCGAGTGGCTTGCCAAAAACTCTTTGTCGCTAAATACAGGAAAAACTAAATTAATATCTTTATTTAAAAAAAAAAAAAAAAAAACGCAACCTTTTTCTGTTTTCTTATGTGCTTGAGGAAATTACGGCAGATAAAGTATTTCATGTGAAATATCTTGGCGTCTACACTGATATATATATAGTACTGTTTTATTTACTGAGCATGTTTCTAAGATCGACGGTTCAGACATTAGAAAGTTGGGAATGATCACTCGCTTATCACGTCCTTTCACTTCACCAATATCTGCCGTGTGTCTGTTCTGCAGCCTCGAACGCTCGGCACTTGAATTTGGTTCTATTACTTGAAACTCATTATCTTTAACCGAAGTTGCAAGGATTTAAATTGTGCCGACGAAATTTATTGGAAATAGTTACAGCCGCCACATAGGTCGAAGATTATTTTAGTTACGACTCATTGCTACCGTTATTTAGTCTTGGAAGGCTTTCAACAAGAAGGCGATATTTTCTTCATAAAGTAGTGCATGGGACTGTAAAATCTCGGAGTTTACTTGTTAGTATTGACTTTCATGTACTAGTCGTCATTTCTTAAAATTTTACCCCCATAAAATGTGTGAATTGTCACTACTACATCGAATGCAGTTCGTTTTTTAAAGGGAAGATGGGGCACTTCTACATCTGAGAAAAAACGCTTGAATTGCATTCATTTGGCCTTTAGAATAACAGATATCACAATTATACTTCAATGCGACGCGCCGGAGAGCGATAAGAGCAATTTGAAAAAAGGCCTGAAGCCCCGCCTCCCTAGCCTTGGCAAGCCAAAAGAGCCGTCGATGACGTCACGGACAGCGACAGTCTTTCGCGTTTTTCTCGCGTTTAAAAACACTTGCGCGGCAAATGGTTTTGGTATTCGGGTTGACGAGGTAAAAATACACTAGAATTCACTTCTAACTCATTTTTTTCAAGAAGCTCCGTAGCTTCCCTTTAATAGCATAGGAAATTGCGTATCATATACTTTTCTTGATTTTCGTAAACTTAAGCCAGCCTTGCAAAAGTGTTTTTTTCTGACTCTGAGTTTTTGTACAAGTTGTATCTCCTTCACAACCCTGTATTCTTGTGTTCTCCCATGCATCTATATATTTTAAATAGTGTTGCTGTAAACACGAATTACAGTGCACCACACAAAAAAGCTTAATATCTGTTTTTTGGGAACTAAAAAAAATAAAACTTTATTATTATTATTATTATTATTATTATTATTATTATTATTATTATTATTATTATTATTATTATTATTATTACGTTTGCTAAAAGTGTTTGAAGTTGTAATTTATCTACTAGTCAGCCGCAGTGACTTCAAAATTTCAGTTAAAATTGCAGCAAACTTTTATAATCTTGTCACGCTGGAGCTTTCTTCTTCAAACTCACTGACTGGCAGAAACATACCTGCAGAGGGTCACAGAAGATTCTCCACATAAATCAAGAGAACCTTCCACTGTAGAGATTGATAAAAAATTTTAAAATAATTGGTTTTGGATGGGCACAGTGCGCATCTTATCACGGGCCCTCGGAGCCATTTTCAATATAGTAAAGAGTCTAAGTCTCCAATAAACTTTTTCAGTGAATTCTAAGCTATTATGTCGTTTCGCAACTCACCTCGCATAAGCTATTGTAAAAAAAAAAAATTAAAAAGACAAAAAATACAGTGACAAATGTAAAATAATCTGTAATAAATACTCGGAAACAAAATACAAGCTCCTCTCAATACAAAAAAAAAATCATATCATCTTCGTTGAATTTGGCTAGATCTTCAAAAAACATATGCAAAGTAGTTTAATCGCTTTCTCAAGCAAATTTGTATTTGTGAGTGATTTGGTTTTTGTGTTATAGTAATTATTTAATTGTAATTGACTACCTTTAGAGCGAAGCAGCTATAATTGTACTTAAATTACGTTTCCCAAGTAATTTACCCATGCATGCATTTACTTGAACTGCATATTTTAGGTTACTACGCCCAGGGCACTCTCTGTGAAAACGGCTTACCAATATTGCTAGCGTACGTTACCGGTCATGAGGGATACTCATCTCACATGCTGCTCAGCATTATAATCAACAGGTGGGTATAATTAAAAAATAACGATAGTTTATTGCCTTTTCACAAAAGGGATACTGAACCAAAGAATTTAGTGCCCATAATAAGGGGTGCACGTTCTCTCTACGAGCCAGCAGCCGCCGGTGTGCGGGAGCACAAGCAAAGAAAATGACGTCAAAGACCTCCATTCGCGCTTAAGAGGACTGCGAAATACACGGGCTTGGGGCCAAAGGAGAATAAAGACAGGCTTTTCATCTCCAGAAGTGAAAGCTACGTGCTTGTTAGACCAATTAATCGCTTGCCTTTTACACCAGACATCATTGTGTGGATGAAAAATTTGTCTATATTCTTCTTTGGCCCGAAGCCCATACATTTCACTGCCATCTTAACCGCAAATGGAGGTCTTTCACGATATTTTTGTTGCGTTTGCTCGCGCACACCGGCGGCTGCTGGCTCGTGGAAAGAACGTGCGCCACTTATTATGGACATTATATTCCTTGGTTCGGTATCCCGTTAAGGCTATTGCGATTTCAATAGCTGTCTGAATGAATTTTGAAAAAAAAATTGATCGTGTTTGTTTATTTATTATTTTAACATGGGATGTGTTCCATGGGTCCTCTTCTATGAGAAAGCGGTCATGAACGAGCGTCATAATGAACGTTCTAACGAGCATCATGAACGAAAGATGCTGGGAGCGTTAAAGACGTTCATCAATCATACAATCAATCACATTCTTTAAAAAGTTGTGTTCCAAAAAACTGGTAGGCCTTAGCAGGGATACACGTAGATCAGCATAAATAAAAAGGTATAATTAGCGAGAAAACATTCATACACCTTTCTTTGACTTTTCAAATTGAGTTAAGTCCACGTCTGGGTATTAAGCGTGTCGTACATAAGCCGCGTACGTGTCAATGGGTGCCAAGGTTCTACATCAAAAAGGTAAACAAACGCCGTAGATCTACAGCGTGTTCACGAAGCGTGCCCACAAAACTACAGCCGCATAATAATAATGATTTTAGCAAAAATTAATTATCACCATGAAACGCCCTCTCTCAATTTTTTTAAGACGAAGCGGAACGCCTAAACATTTTTTTAATGTAGAACAAGTATGTCACAAACTATGTTTTAGCCGAAAGAAGTATCCTATAGCAATATTTACGGCATCGGACCAATTTTAAGTTTAAAACAAAATGAATCAATCAATTAATTTATCTCCGTTTGCGATTGGGAAAGCAGGGAAAACAGCATTTAGCAGCTTGACAATGTTCTCGGCTTATTTAATTTTTTCTTTTTTTTTTTTAGATTGCCGCTTAGGTCTTTTCAGCTTCCATTGGCTGAAAAGAAGTGTTAATATTATTGACAGTTCTAACTCCAAAAACAAGGGCTTGCTTTGATATGCAATGTGAGGGGAATACAAACGCAACAAAATTATAGCATCTTAGAACGAGCCTCTACTTAAAATGACGGTATTTAAACAATCGCGTTTGGCGGCCAGAATTTCCGCACCAAAGTGTAAAGTATCAATTTATCCAGAACCGAAATTTTTCCCTCCCTCCAAGAGGTTATGGCATCTATAAATCAAAAGCCGTGACTTCTGTGTTTCCCTTTTTGAAGGTACCACATAAGAACACAGTTGGTCTGTTGGTCCGTTGAACGACAACACACTGTGCCCTCAATAAATTCTGAAGTACCAGAGCTACCTCAATGTGACAGCATCACCGGTCGGACTCCGCGCTGTCGCAGGAGACAGAATCACGGAAAAGGGAACAGCCTCAGATAGAGCTCCGTGGAGCAAGACCCTCCCCCGACGAGAGCCCCCGGCGCTTCTTTAGCAATATTGGACGCGCTCGGGGTGGTCGGATGTAGGTTGGCTGCCCGGAGGGGCGGACGCGTCCAAGTTTCAAGATCCCGAAATGTGTGCCTTTGGTGGATCACCCGAGAATGCGGTGGAAAGCCGTCCAAAAGGGAATACGGACTCGCCTCATGTCCGGGACGCGCCCTGACATTGCGACGCCCCACGGCCTGCCTGTGCTAGGCCTAGATAGGGATGCGGGCAGCGAATCCCGGACAAACGCTCACCGGACAAAAGCTCAGCCATTTTTTCACAGACCCGGACAAAAGCTCACCAATAGAAACTTTCATGTTGGTCTTAACGCTGACACGGACAACTTTGGTGCATGCGTGCGACACTAAAATTCAACGATAAATTAAATCTGACAGACACATGATTTATTCAGTAGACTGAAAACAAGTTCATTTATTGATTGGCTAGAAGCAAATGCACTCCCCTACTGCCTCCAGCAGTCTTGGTAGATCTCGGTATACCTGAACCACTCGCAAATATTTTTCAG